TCCCTACCCCTTCCCCCCTTGCCTTCCACATGGCTGCGCAGGGAGAAGACAGAGGTGTTTTCCTCTTCTCTGTGACTGCCCTGGGGCAGGGCTAGGCCAATGCTTGCCTACAAGCACCAGCCCTGCCTCACAAAGGCCCTTGGGATGAAGGTGTAATCACCCAAAACTAACCTACAATGTGAAACTGTACAAGGGTTCACTAAGGTGCTCTGCCCTAAAGTACCTTCTTCTGATACTATGTAGCTTGGGTGTACTCAGATAAGTACTCCCTTCTCTGACCGAAGGGGAATAGTTAGCTGGCAGGTGTGCTGTAGGCAAAACTGCAGACCATTTACAGTTCCCTTCTGTCTCTATAGAACCAGGCCAGGTCAGTTATAAAATTTAACTATGTACAAATTTATACTGACTTCTGGGGGATTGCTCTGAAGGGCCTTGAACCCACACAGGTAAATAAGAAATCTGAAACAGGTAAATACAGGTGAGTTCAGGTAATCAGCAAACACACTTAGGCACACCCAAATAAACACTGGCAATCAGAGGGAGGTGTCAATGGCGGGGCAGGGTTTCAACAAGATATATACATATACACATCCAGATAAAGAACAAATAAACAACAAATGGTTATTAATGACAAAATATGAGGCACTGGATACAAAATATAAAGCGCATACCCTCCTTCATGGTATCAATATCACTGTGATTACTAGAATCTCCTCTAGGCGAAAAGAACTCAGGATCAGCTCCCGAAAAAGGGGAAAAGGGCTGGCTCCCAATATCTCCTCACCCTCTGGGGCGTGGCCAGGACCCTTATCCTTCAGGGCCCTTTCACAGTTCCCCACCCCCTCTTCCAAGGGGTCTCCTCCCCTGTGGGAAACCCTTGCCCGATAACTCATGATTCCGGGGCCACAAAGGGGGATCAGCGCTCTTCCACCCAAACTGCTCCTTGCTGCCAAGCCTCTCAGGCTCCGGCTCCATCCCAGCCGCCTGCCTGCTAGTGGCCCCGAGCAGTCACGTACTCCTGGAGGCTACTGCCTTCTCACTGTTGTTGGAGGCCTGGGCCACCTCGTGCGATGCTGGGGCTCAATTCACTCTGGGAGCGAGATCAGTCCTGACCCCTGGCCCCATGCCAGGGGTTAGAGACCCAAACTGCTGCTATTGGCACCCAGGGTCTAGGTTCCACCATACACCGTCCCTGTGCACAGAGGCCCTGGCCACTTGCCAGGGGTGGCAAACCCTTGCTGCCTTTCATGGCTCCCAGGATCCAGCTCTGTGCAGCAGTGCCTGCACCGCACCCTAGCCACACACCAGGGGTTACAGACCCAAGCCCCTTGAAAAAGTAGCTTGAAAAAGTGCTAGACCACTGCCTGTCTCTGACTACACTTGCTGCTGAACTAGGTCAGCACTAGTTTAACAGTATCTATTGCTAATGTCTGCTATTATCAATGATAACTTTTTATGCCACAGATAAGATTAAAAGCATAAATTCCTAGAACACATTAAAATGTTTTTTCTCTCATAACCCCAGAGAGATTGGCACGAACCTTGGAGGTATGAGTAATTGTGAGTGACACAAGGCTGGTGGCAGTGGCTGTGAAGGACAGAAATGTATATTATTTTATGGGGTTTTAATGGTTTTGGGATGGGTTAATACAGAGATGCACAGAAGTTGGAAGCAGTGTCTGATGATGCATAGGATGAACATTTGAACACAAAGCTCTTCTTCCCAACCCTGAGAGTGGTGCTGTGTTATGTGTGAGCTTGTTTCTGATTTTGTTGCTTTGTTCAAGGCAATTAGGAGAACAATAAGAAAACCAGACAAAGAATGTCCTGAGTCACTGTCTGCTCATTTTTCTCCCAACAAAGAAATATGAAATTTCAAAAGTCCAAATTCTTCTAGACTGCTTAGAAACTGGCACAGCTCTGAAATCTTTTTCAAGTCAGATGAATATCCAAAAGTTTGGATGGTGATTCAAGTTTCTTAAATTAGCAAAAATGGGCTGGAATTACTATGAGACATCTTTCACACAATATTTCTGCACTTTTGTTTGGTACCTTAAATAGGAAATGCAAAGATTACCTTGGAATGAAAAATAATTGTAAAAATATTAACTGATAATTCTGGAGTTTCTGTTCTGTTCAAATTTGGCAAAGATTTATATTACAATTTATTTTGTAAACATGAGTTGCATTTGACTTGAAAATTATTCTAATACCTGAAACTGACAAGTTTTGAGCTTGTAAGAAATTCAGCCTAAAATAGAAAAGTGAACAGGGGATACAGTTCCTCTAAAAGTCTAAAGAAGTTAAATTAACATATATAGTAAAGTAAATGTGCAGGTTAATGGCATTGTGCTTAATCGAACTGGTAGCACTACTGAAGTACCAGTAGAGCATTGCAGCCATGCTAACTATGGTATTTTTTAATGTAATTTTGCTTTGTGTCTATGCTTGCCCCCTTCTAGATCCTCGCATTTTTGCTGCCCTCTGTGTTTTTATCCCCACTGCCAAACACTGCCAAAGCTCCCCAGCTCTGCAAGCAAGGTCCAAGGGCTCTGTGGGCCACAGGTTACTGACCCCTGCTTAGAGAACCAGCTCTGGGAATGCAGAACTCTTCTGAGTTGCTGTACAGAGAGAATCTAATATTCATTGCTCCAAAAACAGATAGCAAGGCTGAAAGGCTTGTTTTGTGTGGGTAGTTTTCTTTTCAACATAACTTTTGAGACTTGGAGAGGGGATAAAGAGGAGAACTAAGGGCTAAGATAAATCAGTATCTGAAATGTATCTGATGTTTTAGAATTGGTGCGAGAGCCTGTGTAATGTGTACATTTGCCTACATAATACACCTTGGACTAACATTTATGCATTGACGAGTGCCCAGTGAGTAGCCACCAATGGCTCAAAACCTAGTTGACAGGAGGTATCAAGTGAGATTTCCTAGGAGTTTCTGCTAGGTGCAGTATTATTCAGTATCTTCATTAATGTTTGGGATGATGGGATTGAGTGCACTCTTAGCAAATTTGTGGATGACACCAAATTGGGTGAAGTTGCAGACCTCCAGAGGTCAGGGCTAGTATCCAAAATGACCTAGAGAGACTGGAAAAATGGTATGCAATCAATCAGATGAGATACAACAAGGGCAAGTGCAAAATCCTGAACTTGGGATGCAAATTGCATGCACAAATACAGGCTGGTGAGTGGCTGGATAGGCTGCAGCACTGCAGAGAAGGACCCGGGGGTTCTGAATATGAGCCAATGGTGTGCTTTTGTTGTGCAAAAAAAAAGTCAACAGCATACTTAAGTTGTATGAATAGGAGTGTCACTAGCAAATCAAGGGAAGTCATTCTTCTAGTCTATTCAACACTGGTGATGCCTCAGCTGGACCACTAATTCCAGGTTCGGGGCCCACACTTCGAGAAGGATGTGCACAGATTGGAAAGCGTCCAGTAGAGAGCAACAAAAATGATTACGACTCTGTAAAGGCTGAAAAAACTGGAGAAGAGAAGATTTGATAACAGTCTTCAACTATCTGAAGAGTGATTAGAAAGAGGATGGAGATAGGCTTTTTTTCCATGACTAGGACAGGAGCACTGACCTCAAGCTGCAGCAGGGGAAATTTAGATTGGAAATTAGAAAGAATTTTCTGACTTTGAGGGTGGTCAGGCATTGGAATAGGTTCAAGAAAAACTGGGGAATCTCCATCCTTGGAAATTTTGAACAGTGGGATAGACAAACACTTGGATTCATAGTT